ATTATATTTTAATACTTGTTGCAAGAATTATATTATATTTTAGAACTTGTTGCAAATATATATATTTTAATACAACTTGTTGCAAACATTATATTTTGATACTTGTTGCAAATATATATATTTTAATACAACTTGTTACAAAAATTATATTTTAATACTTGTTGCAAAAATTATATTTTAGTACAACTTGGTGCAAAATTATATTATATTTTAATACAACTTGTTGCAAAAGTTATGTTATATTTTAATACTTGTTGCAAAAATTATATTTTAGTACAACTTGTTGCAAAAGTTATATTATATTTTAATACAAAAGGAAGTTTTGCAACAAGTTTTAATTTTTTTATTTTGGGGAGGGGGCTTTGCAATTGGAGGACTTTGCAACAAGGTTGGCTGCTTTCTTAAAGGGACAGTACCTCTTCCCCCCCCCCCCCTTTCCCTGGGTTCAACAAAAGGGATCCCAATAGGCAGGCACTCCCTCCCATGGTTTGTTATTCTAGTTTGCAGGTACTGTGACTCCCTTTTGTTTGTTGTGCTTTTGAATGTATCCTCTATCGTTGGTGGGGTTCAGAATGCTCTCTGATTGTAGGTGAACTATAAATCCCAGCAACTACAACTCCCAAATGTCAAGATTCTATTTTCCCCAAACTCCACCAGTGTTCACATTTGGGCATATCGAGTATTCGTGTAGAGTTTGGTCCAGATCTGTCATAGTTTGAGTCCACAGTGCTCTCTGGATGTAGGTGAACTACAACTCCCAAACCAAAGGACACTGCCCACCAAACCCTTCCAGTATTTTCTGTTGGTCATGGGAGTCCTGTGTGCCAAGTTTGGTTCAATTCCATCATTGGTGGAGTTCAGAATACTCTTTGATTGTAGGTGAACTATAAATCCCAGCAACTACAACTCCCAAATGAAAAAAATCTAGTTTTTTGAGTGAAGGACATGCATTGGCCTGATAGGTGTCTTGTGTCCAAATTTGGTGTCGATTCGTCCAGTGGTTTTTTAGTTCTGTCAATCCCACAAACGAACATGACATTTTTATTTATATAGGTATTATTGTACTATATTATTATTGTTGTTGTTATTGTTATTATTATATAATTATATTATATAATAATATATAATAATATATTATTATACTATATTATCATATAGTATAATAAATTATATATGATATATTAATGGGGTTGGACTGGACGGCTCCTAGGGTCTCTTCCGATTCTAAGAAGATAATAGTAGTAGTAATAATAATAATAATAATAATAATAGTAATAGTAATATATAATAATATTAATAGGGTTGGACTGGATGGCCTCTGGGGTCTCTTCCAGCTCTATATTTTGATGATGACAATAATAATAATAATAATGGCCCTTGTGGTCTCTTCTGACTCTTATGAGTCTAGGATGATGGTAGTAGTAGTAGTAGTAGCGGTAGTAGTAATATTAATAGGGTTGGACTGGATGGCCTCTGGGGTCTCTTCCAGCTCTATATTTTGATGATGATGATGGGCTGTATGGCAGCTGTGGTCTCTTCCAACTGTATGATGGTAGTAGTAGTAGTAGTAGGGTTGGTTTGGATGGCCTCTGGGGTCTCTTCCAGCTCTATATTTTGATGATGATGGGCTGTATGGCAGCTGTGGTCTCTTCCAACTGTATGATGATGATAGTAGTAGTAGTAGGGTTGGTTTGGATGGCCTCTGGGGTCTCTTCCAGCTCTATATTTCAATAATAGTAATAATAATAATAATGTTGGGCTGAATGGTCCCTGTGGTCTCTTCCGAGTCTATGATGATGGTAGTACTACTACTACTACTAGTAGTAGTAGTAGTAAGAGAGTTGGACTGGATGGCCTCTGGGTTGTCTTCCAGCTTTATATTTTGATGATAATAATAGGGTTGGGCTGAATGGCCCTTGGGTCTCTTCCGACTCTACAATTCTGTCATGATGATAGTAGTAGTAATTTGTCTGGACTGGGATGGCCTTCCAGCTCTGTATTTCGATAATAGTAATAATAATGTTGGGCTGAATGGCCCCTGTGGTCTCTTCCAAGTTGATGATGATGATGACAGTAGTAGTAGTAGTAGTAGTAGTTGTAGTAGTAAGAGAGTTGGACTGGATGGCCTCTGGGATGTTCTTCCAGCTTTATATTTTGATGATAATAGGATTGGGCTAAATGGCCCTTGGGTCTTTTCCGACGACAATTCTATCATGGTAGTAGTAGTAGTTAGAGAGTTGGACTGGGTGGCCTCTGGGTTGTCTTCCAGCTTTATATTTTCATGCTAATAATAGGGTTGGGCTGAATGGCCTTTGGGTCTCTTCTGACTCTACAATTCTATTATAGTGATAGTAGTAGTAGTAATTTGTCTGGACTGGATGGCCTCCAGGGTGTCTTCCAGCTCTATATTTCAATAATAATAATAATAATAATAATAATAATAATAATGTTGGGCTGAATGGCCCCTGTGGTCTCTTCCGACTCTACAATTCTGTCATAGTGATAGTAGTAGTAGTAGTAAGAGAGTTGGACTGGATGACCTCTGGGGTGTCTTCCATATTTTGATGATGATGATGATGATGATGATGATGATGATGATGATGATGATGATGATGATGATGTTGGGTTGAATTGCCCCTGTGGTCTCTTCCAACTGTATGATTCTATGATGATGGTGATAGTAGTAGTAGTAGTAGTAGTAATAATAATAATAATAATAATAATAATAATAGGGTTGGACTGGATGGCCTCTGGGGCCTCTTCCATATTTTGATGATGATAATAATAATAGGGTTGGGCTTGTCATTTCCAACTCTATGATTCTGTGATAATGATAGTAATAGTAGTAGTAGTAGTAGTAGTAATAATAGGGTTGGACTGGATGGCCTCTGGGGTCTCTTCTATATTTTGATGATGATGGTTATAATAATAATGTTGAGTTGAATTGCCCCTGTGGCCTTTTCCAATTGTATGATTCTATGATGAAGATAGTAGTAGTAGTAGTAGTAGTAACAACAACAATAATGATAATTAATAATAGGGTTGGATTGGATGACCTCTGGGGTCTCTTCCAGCTATATATTTTGTCGATGATGATGGGCTGAATGGACCTTGTAGTCTCTTCTAATTCTATGTTTCGATGATGAGGATAGTAGTAGTAGTAGTAGTAATAGTAATAATGCCTATCCTGCTTTATGACACAGCTGTGAGGTTGTGGGTGTGTGTTGTCCCTTTAATGTTGGGCTCCAGCCAAGACGCCAGGCTCCCTTTGGGTGTGTGCTTCCATTTTGCTTCCTGAGAGTGTTGTTGTGGAAGAGGAGACCTTTCTGGATCGGGGCCATCCTCCGAAGCGTGGCCAGGAAGTTGGGATTTATTGTATACACGTGTGTACGTGTTTGCGTGTTGTATGCACTCTAGACTTTGGCTCACACTCGGCCCACAGTTCACCCTAAAGTAGAAAGAGGGAAAGCCACGAGAAAGGCGACTCTGTCCTTCCTCAAAGCCTTTTGTGTTCCCTCTTCTCTACCCTTTTGCTCTGGGTTCGAGGTCCACAATTCGATCCCTCCTGACAGATGGCCAACCAGCCATTGGTATGAGTAATCAATCGAAAGAGAGAGAGAGGTACTCTACACACACTATATTCCACTGATGTGTCTATCATATATTTGGGAGAGTCACCCCAAGGAGGGCCATCTAGTCCAACCCAACTTCAGCCAGCTGGGAAGGCACAATTCTGATCCCTCCTGACAGATGGCCATCCAGCGAGTAATCAATGGAGAGAGAGACATACTCTACACACACTATATCCCAGTGATATGTCTATCATATATTTGGGAGAGTTACCCGAAAGAGGGACATCTGGTCCAACTCAACATCAGCCAGGCCGGAAGGCACAATTCGATCCCTTCCGACAGATGGCCATCCAGCGAGTAATCAAGTAAGAGAGAGACATACTCTACACACACTATATCCCAGTGTTATGTCTCTCATATATATTTGGGAGAGTCACCCCAAAAAGGGCCATCTGGTCCAACTAAACTTTGGCCAGACGGGAAGGCACAATTCGATCCCTCCCGACAGATGGCCATCCAGCCATTGATACGAGTAATCAATAGAGAGAGAGAGACGTACTCTACACACACTATATTCCAATGTTACCCCAAAGAGGGCCATCTGGTTCAACCCAACTTCAGCCAGACAGGAAGGCACAATTCGATCCCTCCTGACAGATGGCCATCCAGCGAGTAATCAATCAAGAGAGAGACATACGCTACACACACTATATCCCAGTTATAGATCTGTCATATATTCTGGAGAGACACCCCAAAGAGGGCTATCTGGTCCAACCCAACTTCAGCCAGGCGGGAAGACACAATTCGATCCCTCCCGACAGATGGCCATCCAACCACAGGCACGATAAATAGAATGTGTTGACTATCTGTCAATCAATCATAGAATTCTAGAATTGGGACTCCTGAGGATCGTTCATGCTGATCTCATTCAGCCAGATGGGAAGGCACAATTCGATCCCTCCCGACAGATGGCCATCCACCCACCTATAGATA